CAAGAAGAGCTGGCTCTTGTTGAGAGCCACTCAGTCAATCTCGTCGAGTGCTACTTACAAAACAGCACTTATTCCTCTCGTTAGCGAAAAAGAAGTCTGCAAAACTGTCCTTGTAGCTGCTCGTTTGCGAGAAACCGCTCCTTTCCTCCGTCACTACAAAGCACTTGTCCTGAAACGTTTAGGCTAACTTTGGAGAGTTAGCCGAAATTTCATTTCCTACGAGGCACTTTACCCTATGACGATGATGAGACGTTGCCGGAAGCCAAGTGAAGAAATCACTAGAGCGCTGCCCGGCACTCGACATGGAGAGCCTCTGAAAATAAATTTAGTCCGCCAAGGGAAAGCTCGTGGTTTGATCTCAGAAAAAAGAAAAAAGAAGAAAAATTATTGAAATCAAGAGGTGGATGGAGAAACTAATGTTTTTTGTCTTCTTCCGCAGGTTCTAACTTACAAAAGAACCACAGTCTTGTAAGGGAACCCGAATTCTGCCGGACCGAGCATGCTTATCGTAAATTTTCGAGCTGTTTGAAATTAGAGAGCTTTATTAGTCCAAAGTCTGGCTTTTACTCGCTAGCCCTTCGCCTAAGCCTGAATTAGGATGACGAAACTACAATATACTAAATTCCGATACGAAAGGAGTAATAGACAGTACAATGACTACGACCGAGTCAAAATCTCGGAGCGGTTATCGCAAAGATTGGGGGGGGGACGAGTCGCCTAGTAGCGACACCCACATCTATTTTTGAAATTCATGTTCGTTGCACTTCTTTTACTTTGCCCGAAAGTGCTGCTAGACTGCAGAATTTCACCTAAAACAGTTGCCCATGTAGGTAACAACGTTTTGGTTTTTGCAAAAAATTGCAGAAGCATGCGCGTGTCATGAGTCCTAACGAAAAAAGGCCTGATTCGGCTAATTGAGGGCATCGAGGTGTTCAGAGGACTGTACAGCCGCCTTTGGATACCTGTATGTAATCAAAGCGGCTCGTTTGCAATTTCACAGGATTTGACAGGTCTCGCCGTAGCGAGATCTATTAGTTCACCGGAAATAACAAAAGGTACCAGCAAACCAGCATCGTGCGCCCCCCCCCGGAACCAAGCACCACCAAAAACATAAAAATAGAGAACTTTATTGGATTGTGGTGTACTCCATACCGTACAGTGCTGTAATGTCCATTACGTTACTAAATTATACTATACTAATCTTCATAATAATAATAATACTAATGCTTTACACTACACTCTGCTATACTATGCATATTATACCAAACTATCCTATACTATTTGTTATACTGTTCTTTGCTATGATATACTGTATTAAACTATACCACGCTCCAACGGGCGTCGTATTCGGTCGATGGAGGGAGGAGGACCGCATTTGGCTCGAGAAAATTTTTTGATTGTCGAATTTTCCTGTTTCATACGCGCTATGCACATCGTTGGAAGGCTGTCATTGTGGATGGTCGTCCCCGTTGAGGGGCAGGGGAAATTCGGTCGTCCCCGTTGAGGGGCAGGGAGGGAGGGTCGCATCTGGCCTTGAGAAAATGTTTCCGTACGCGTGAAAATTTTTTCCTGTTTGTTGAAATTTTCTAAGAGGTGGTAGAAAGGTGGGAAAATTTGGGAAGATGGTAGGTTGCACAGGGAACGGGGCGTGCGAAGGAAATATTGAGGGATGCACATTTTTCAGCCACCAAGGGGTCATTTAGACTTGAATATACTACAAAATATATAAAATAAATATAAATCGTGACAGCAATAATAAGGTTTTCAATTTTAGTTTGGAACGCTACGTCTCAATCGGCGACGCTGTGGATATCGTCTGTCCATACTACGAGGCTGACGTCGACTTCATGGACACAGAACAAAGCATCATCTATAGGGTGGGTAATAGCTAAGCCCGAAACGGTTGCCTACTGTAAACAAATGTATCCGGGAGATGGACAAGGTGTAGCCGCGTACTTCATCTTAGCTTGACGGCGGCTGCGCTTTTCGTGGGATATTCCCATTTGGAAAAATTGCAATCAGGTTCTCGATCTGCGACCGACAGAATACAGATGTTTGTTCAAATGGGTAACACCCTACCGAAACGCATCTTAGGCGATGCTCAAATAAAGTACGCAGCAACGCCCCTCGCTATCTTTGAGAAATCGGGTGTAAGTGTTAGCTGAAAGGCCTTATGTAAACTTCTTTTTCCAGGTCTCAAAAGGACGACTACGAGTCGTGTAAGCTTTCATCGGCAGCTCGAGAGCTGGGCAGATGCACCGCACCGATGCGGAGAGACAAAGTAAAAGTCTCATTCAGGTTGCTCAGTCCAAATCCTTCGGCACTGGACTACCGGCCCGGTCAAAGCTACTATTTTATATGTACGTATTTACTATTTACACTTTGACGGTTTACATAACGGACTGCCTTTACCTTTGCACACTTCTTTTCGGATAATTGGATAACTTCCCTTTTTGGGTCTCGTGAGGGGGAGGATGGTACGGTATGTCAAGCGCTTAGACCTTCAAATAACCGAAACCATGGGCGTTAAATTAGGTGAGAAGAAGGGAACTAACGCGACAGGAGCGTATACTCGATAACTCTCTCCTTTCCCCCACCCCTCTCCTCCCAAAAATACATTACTCTTTCACATCTACACTGTTCAGTGCCCTGCGGCAGCAACGAGCACTGGATTTTGCCCGTTTTATACTACATTGCAGCCAAAATATTGTGATTTCCGTACGCTGTGGTCCCAACCACGCTGATCGTGTGGGCGGAGTCAGACCCGCAACTGCGACCCCCACAATGCTAACCATTTTTTTTCTGATGTGGTTAGGCGAAGGGAGAGCTAGCGAATAACGTAGAATGGCAAGTCTGAATCTGCTCGAATGATTGCGTACTGTAACTTAAATCTACAGCAAGAATTCTAACATCACTTTACTCTACTTTCAGCGACGTCCACTGGAACTCCGTGGGGTCTCGACAACACCAGAGGCGGTTTGTGCTCAACCAGTAATCTTAAAATGATCATCCACGTTGGAGCCTTTGGTAAGTGCTCATCTCTTCATTCAAGATACATTAGAAACATTCGCACATTTTAGGCCATCACCATCGCCATCACAGAAAACCTGTCACCAGTACCACCACCGAAGCGCCACCTGAGGAAGATTCAGACTGGCCAGCTGACCCATTATGGACGCAGTTTTTCGACAAGGTAAGGTTCATGTCTTGGTTACACTATCAGATAAATGCTGTCATTCAAACGAGAGCTACTGATATCTTTGGGCTAATAGTAAGCTTTTTTGAATTAGTTAAAATTATTTCCAAATTTGCGAACGTTAAGGATCCATCCAAGCTGATTATGTGGGCGGAGTCAGACCTACAATCGTGATCCTCATACTTGTTGCTCATTGCGCATTCTTTTGCTTCTAGTGCGACAAGGAAAGGTTAGAGTGGTAGCTACGGCTCCGCTCATACGCTTGAGCCTTAGTGAATCGAGGATTCAAAAGAACAGCACGGGTCTTATTTCATGCATTCCTATTCGCTATGGATGCTAGCGCGCCTCCGAGAGGGAGGCGGGGGGGGGGGCTGGGCTTGACGAGGATCAGCTCGTTCTCCACCAAGCTCTTAAGCTGCTAAGTGACAACAAATGGTGGGACACAGGTTGGCGCCGCGTGAAACCCAGGCCCCTGACAGGCCCCAGTAAATGAAGCGAAAAGAGTACGCCTTATGTTTCCTGAAGACAACAAATGTAGTCAAATTTCAAAAATAGAGGAAAAAGCAAGAAAGAAGAGCCTTTTCGGAACGTGCCACCATTCTCAAATCCTACACTAGTTAAAGTCGTCATCCGGGCAGTTGATTATCCGGCCCAAGTGACGCGACGCGGCTGCAGCGCGTCACGATCGCTGCGATCAGCTGTTTCCACCCTAATTTAGCAATTTCTCCCTAGATCGGTTCGCATTTGTTGTGTGCTTGTTTAAACTGTTTGTTTAATCGTCTAATTGTTTCGCAAAATGTTTGCAAAAAGAACTCCGTCGTAGTTCATTTTGTGAAGACAAGGAACCTTGAACCTTGAAAAAAGCCAAAAACAGTGAAAAGTAGAGAAAAAATGGTAAACCAGGCGCGCACTGGCATGATCGCCGCAACAACAGTCCTACCGTAACCGCGGTCTGCTGCCGCAGCCGCGCGTCTGCGGCCCTTCACGAACGGCGCCTACTCGACTGCCCGGATACGAGTGTAGATATAGTGGAACTGATTTTGGCGCAGTTCGGCTATGGGGTGGGAGGGGGTGCATTTTGCATTGCTGCTACTTCCGATCGACGTGTCGACCTACCTAGACAGCCTGTTCTCGAGTTGACAAGGTTCCACACATGATGGCTTGACGACCTTGCTCCAGCATCACAAGTGTTCACAGGTATCACAGAGTGAGAACTTGTAAACCGGGGCTAGGGAAGAAATGAAAGTACAAAATGCCCTTCCCGTCGCCGAACTGCGCCCTATATTTAAGTCATATGGCTGATAAAGTCGCAATCCAAGGGCGATGTTAAAGAGGCGCGGGAATGAGGTGCCTGCGGCTGCAATTCTATCAAAGCGGCGTGTTTAGAGAACAATTATCCACTATTGGCGGAAAACTGCAGCTGCGGTTGGGCTTAATCCACACCCCTTGACACCCACATCGGATAGATATCGACAATATCAACTGTACAATGACCACCTGGACGTGATGAACGTTTCTGCCTAATTTCGTTCAGTTTCAGTAGAAAAATGTTGTGGAATTCTGGTATGGTCCTACCTTAACCAGAGGAGAACGCCTTTCTCTTGACACTGGCAGTCGACGTCATGAATATGAATCGGTGCCAATGGCCGAAATGGATTTCCAAATCCACGAAATTGGAGAAGGTTCGTTTATTAGTACATTCAAGTCAAGTCTTCATTGAGATTTATTGGAAACTGTAGAGAAACTGTAGACATTACAGTTTTGTTCGGTGCTGAGGCGTGTCAGATGAGGGGAGGGGGTGAGTGGGCGTGTCAGAAGAAAGACTGGGTTTGGTGCGGCGCCAAACCCGTTTCCTATCAGTTGTTGAAGCGAGCAGACGGCGACACTTTATCATATCGTACGCACCAGTCGTTTTCCACCTACTATTGTCGCTTACCCACTTCAACAACTGCTGGAGAACGAGCGGGTCACGCGCCAAACCCAGCCTTCCTGACACACCCATTATCCTCAACGAAAGACTGTAAATTTTCAGCGAGATGCAGCGAGTCGAAAATAATTTTCTTGTTCATTTTTCAAGGAGGTGAAATGAATGATTTCAGTGGAAAGTTTGTTTTCCTCGTCAACGCGCTACCTCTCATCGACTTTCACTGGAACACTTCTGCTCCTGGTGCTGCTGTGGACTTGACCTCCTGAGAGCTCCCTGAACTACTCATCCTCGTCTGTACGGGTTATTCTTACGGGTGGTCGTAGTCATACGGCGTTTGTGTATCTATGGATGCCTGTGATACTTCACATTGTTTGTACTATATTTTCAATAAAACATACTTCACAAATATGTTCAATTCTGAAGGTGGAGATGAGATTTTGTGAGCCGATTGCACTTGATTGGTTGTTCTGGGGATTTGTATATATTGGTGAAAGGCCGAGCTTTGGATAGGATAGGAATAGGAGCGCCTTAGAAGCTCGACGTCTCCCGACACGAAACTCTGCATGGATACGATTTTTCACAGCTGCAGCTTTAAGAAAGCGGCATTCATAATCCGGAGGTTTAAAAGTATGCGCTGCACACCTCTCTTATAGCATAGGTGCGAGCCAGAATATCCGAAATAGGGCTGTCTATTTTGGATTCCCTGGCCCACACTTTTGGTCAGCCTCTCAGCCGTGAGAGGATGGGGTTTTGGGAAGGGAGCGCAAGCGCCAGGCTAAGTCAGGTGATGTTCCCCGGAATAAGCAACTGAAGCTATCGTTTATACAAGATACTTACAGTGGTAGCTTCTCAAAAACAGGTCAAGGAAGCTTCTAGGGGCTTTAAACCCATGTATTAAGTTTGCATATTCAAGTTCATCCTGTAAAACCTCAACAGGGGTAACATTATTTAAAGAATGAGCTTCCGTTGGATAGGAATAAGATCAGTGCCGTAGTGTGGCCAGATTTCCTTTTGGTGGGAGCGCTGCGCGACTACAATGGACATAAGGTTTGTTCCACGTCCTGTAATTCAAGAACATTCCGAATTCCTCCAATTGTGTCTAGATAACATATTCAAGTTGGATTCCTGTTTTATGGCATCTAGCCTTGATTACAGGGCTGTGGCAGGGGGGGGGCAAGAAAGACCTTGTCTGTCCTCATATAGCTTTTCACTTTATCTAATTCTGATTGGACAATTTCACCGTCACATTCAACAGCAAATTGTACACGATCACGAAACTCCGCCACAGCCTTCTAGATGAACGCCATCGGAAGATTCTGCCACGCGACCGTTATGAGGTGCCTGAGTTCAGCGAGGACGTTGAATTTTACGCACTGTGGACATCTGTTTGAGCTCGAGCCGGACCCCGGTTCGTAAATCGAGGGGTTAAGCGGTCGGGTGTCACACTTGGAGGAAATTCCTCAAGATTCAACGTGGGCGTTGACAACCTAAGTGAGGGCGGAAGTTTTTTCTGCGTCGGATTGCGCATGAAGTGACACCCACTTCTGTAGCAGTACGAAGATTCCAAGATGGTACAGGCGATGACGCGAGAGCAGGATATTCTCCTCGATCTGGTCGATGTAAACCGACAGCGTTCACCTTCAGTCAGGGGTCCAGAAAATATCGGTCTTTTCTGGTCATACCATCAACCCGCGCCTTGGCGACTGCGGTGAAGATGATATCCTGGACCGTAGCGACGTTGTCGGAGCTGCTCGATGTTGGAGGTCTTCCAGATCGAGAGTGCGGTCTCCAGGTAGCTGTCCATAGGATGATCCATAACAAGAAGTTCCCTAGCTGTTTTTGGAGGTGAAGTGATTCCATGGGCCTTCCTCCAGTCCGGCTGACGATGGAGAGCTTCATATTTTGGTGGTAGCGCAGAGGTATGTGGCGAGAGCCTGCTGCGCTTTATCGACGAACATCTTCCAGTATCTTAGTCTGGAGCTCGTATGCCACACTAACCCGCCAAAGTGTCTGTTTTTTTGCCCCCTCCTGTAAATAGGCGCACACACTCCGCAGAGAGTAGCGCTAAAAGAGACTATGTAGTGCGATTTTTATTGTAGCGCGTACAAATTTGTTCCAGTTGTTTTTCCATACGAAAGAGATTAGCTACAGCTTTTCTTCTCGAAGCATCTGGTGGGTCTCATTATCTCGTTCAAGTGATGCAGTCGTCGCAGATCTTCTCATATGCTAATTGCCAATGGATCATATTGCATCCAAATATAAGCAGGCTATGAATGACCCTTCAGACTCTCGCATATGCTTTTTCAGAGGGATCTCTCGGAACAGTGAAATTCGACAAAAGCACCGTTTCTGTCATTTACAAGCTCTTACGCTAGTGGGCTCTAGAGAAAAGCTGAGATCAATGTTCAGAAGCATGGACTTGAGGTCAGGTGGCTCCATTTTGTTGAGCAGTACTGTACCATGGCCCAGTTTCAAAACAAGCCAGTGATCAAATTTCTTCCAATTTCCTTCATACACCCCTTCTATTATGCCCACATCCGGGACACCTCTCTTCCTCTTGTCCCTCAGTCGCTACAGGAACGGAGTTGAGCTCCGACCATACTGAATACTGAATACTGATTTCATCCGTTTTCATAGGTTTGAGGCGCACTCTCGTTCGCTGCGGATGTAGCGCATGTTGAGGGAGGATCGGCTAATGCGGCGACAGCACTGTACCATAGACTTAGCATTAGTCATTTTCCACCAAATATTGACGCTGGAAAAATGACGAAGTACGAGCTGGCGGCGCGCCAAATCCAGCCTCATTGACATGCCCCATCATCCGCAGAGAACGAGACTATAGCGGAGTTGGCGCAGCAAATAAAGTCACTACACCATCTCCCCGAGACGGAGGAGGTGTGGTGACAGAGTAGGATATAGGGGTCGAACCCTAGATCGGCTCCCGTCCAGGCCAACCATACCTTCTTTCCTTCAGGGACGCTAATTGGTTCGCCAGGGAGGATAAAAACACTGACTTGTACATCGGCTGGCCCCCGCAAGTCATTGTATAGGCCACATCGCATTCAATAAGCCACTACGATTCTGAATGGAAGTAGAATGCGTGCCGCATCCCAAGAATGGATCATCAGCGGCGCTTGCCATGTGAGGGGTGGGCAGTTCCCTAGCTGTAAAAGTGGTATACACTCGTCATCGTGATAGGTGAATGCCATTTCAGGCTCCACCCGCTATCCACAACGCACGGCAGTTGCGTCGATTCCGCAGTAGGCATATATTAATAGCATGCTGCCAGAGGTAGCGAACAACTAAAAGTGAGAAAGCAGACAGGAATCGCGTTCTGCCATAGTTAGGCATCCCCTAGTCGCGTGTCTGGAAGCTTTGCCTCTTGGAATATGGAACGGCATCTGACCTTCACTACCCTGCGGCCCCAACTCGGCGGTTTTTGGGGGACAAAAGTGGCACCGTTCCACAGCTGCCGACCCGTTCCTCTCGCAAATGGAGTGATCGATCGTAGTCAGTTAATCCCCTATCTTATCTTCTTCATGTCCTTTGCA